TCCTCCTGCCTCAGCTTCCCCAGTGTGGGATTACAGGCATGGGTCTCCCTGTTTCAGGGTGGCACAGCAAGCCTGGAGTTCCTGGTCTGGCACAGCATGTGTTACGGGAATCCAACTCGGGGGCCCTGTGCTTGCCAGGCAGGTTCTTACACCACCAAGCTATCTCCCCAGCCTCTCCCTCATAGATTTTAAAGCACTGCTGTTTTCTGAGTGCTAGACTTGGAATCAGCCATTTCTCCAAAGAACCACGATTGCTCCGGGCAGGGACTAATATCTAGAAGCAATCTGGGTGCTGGTGTGCTGCTGCCACTGGGGATCACTGCTTAGGCCCTTTCAGAGATTAGAACAAGGAAATGGAGAAGGCTTTTTTCTGAAGGCTGGGTGTGGCGGCACATGCCTATAATCCTATCACTCTGGAGGCTGAGACAGGAAGATCCCTGTAAGTTGGAGGCCACCCTGGGCTACATAGTGAACTCAAACCCTGCCTAAACTACACAGAAAGACCCTGTCCAAAAAATAAATAAATGAATAAAAAATAAGAATCCACATGACACTGTGAGAATGGAGGTAGCCACACTTATTTTAAGTGAAGAGATCCAGGACTCAGGAGTCAAGCTGGCACAGCTATGGGTTAGGGTTAAACGATTAATCAATGAAACAACATTGGTAGTCCAGAAATAAACATACAAGGAGTTGACTGAAAATTGGCCATGTGGCAGGTTAATTCACTGTGGGAAAGTCCTTTTCTTTTGTATTTAGGACAGGGTCTACAGGGTCTACAGGGTCTACAGGGTCTACAGGGTCTCACTATGTAGATCAGACTCATAGTGATCCTCCTGTTCACAGCCTCCCAAGTGCTGGGATTATAGGTGTGCATCACCACTCCCAGTCTCAATCGCTGTCTCAGTGCACCCCAGGGGCAGGGCTGGCACGGCAGGCCCAGGATTTATCCCCTGGCCCCTGTGTCTGCCTAAGCAGGCGCTTTAATCCACCGAGCTATTGGCGGCCAGGAAAGTCCTATTAAAAACACTGCTGGAACAACTACCTAACAGTATGAGCCTGACACACGCATGCATTTTTAAGTCGTGAGCTCAAACTGATATTTTCAAGTAAAGATTAATATTATTTAGTTCTTATTCAATTACTTTGATTTTGTATTTGTGTATCTTCTCTTAAAAAATCTTGGTTCCTGAAGTAATTGAATTAATTATTTCCTTGTAGATCCTTTTGCACTTAAACTGCATTAAGGATGTACAAGTAGAATTATGCTTTTTTTTTTTTTTGACATAAAGTCTCACTTTATTGTTTAAGCTGGTCTTAAACTCACTATGTAGATGCAGTTGGCCTGGAATTCATCAAGATCCTCCTGCATCAGCCTCTGGAGTGTTAGGATTATAGGTGTGACCCACCACACCCAAGTGGAATACTGCTTTCAAAAGTCACTTGAAATAATTATTTTCCCTATCTAGGCATATTACCAATTACCTGTGTGGTTGGGTTTAGTCTTTTTTTTTTTTTTTTTTTTTTTTTTTTGCAGAACCGGGGATTGAACTCAGACCCCTGCACTTGCCAGGAAAGCGCTTATTCTACTGAGCCATCTCCCCGGCCCCCAAGTCTTTTTTTTTTTTCAAGTTTGTTTTTATCTTAACTTTTGAATATATGAGACATTAAAATAGTGAAAAGCAATAACATTAGATGTATTCAGAGAACCCCAACTTACTTTTTTCCACCCATGTACCTCCCACTTAGGTTAGTTTTATAGCTATCCAAAAATGTTTCTTTTTGAAAACATAAGCACATAAATATACATTCTTTATTTTGTCTATTGCTTTTATGTTTAGTAGATTAGGGTGAGTCAGTCAAAGCACTACAAAGGAAAATTTCTCTCCCTCTCTTTTTTCTAACAGCTATATGGTGCTTCACAGCACTACCATTGTAGGTATCCTCGATTGAATTAGACCCTTTAGACTTGCATGAATGGCTCGTCCTTCTGGCATCTGTCTGTACTCTCGGCACTTGTGAGGCTGAGGCAGGAGGACTGCTGTGAGTTTGAGGCCAGCCTGGGCAATATAGTGAGTTCAATGTTAGCCTGAGCCACTTGGTGAGATCCTTTCTCAAAAAAAAAAAAAAAAAAAAAAAAAAAAAAAAAAAAAAAGGCATGGATGTAGTTCAATTCTGTTGGGCAACCATGTGGGCTCTCTGCAGTCTTTGGCAGAACTCACATTCCAGGGCAACTGCAACAAATTCCCACACGCTGTGCAGCTTAACACAACAGGAATGCATTTTCCCACTGGCAACCTAGCTGTGGGCAGCCTAGGTACCAACTGGAAAGGTCCTGGGGAACCCTTTCTTGTCTTTTCTAGTTTTGATGGCTTGAGAGATGCTAGGGCTTGTGGGTATGCTATCATCTTCCTTGTCCTGTTTCTTACAAGGTCACTTGCCATGTGAGACCCACCCGGATACATTAATCAGGAATGACTTTATCTTGAGATCCTAAGGGACACACTCCTCAACCCACCTCACTGACTATTACAAACACTGCTGGAAATAATCACCTTCTACATGTGCTTTTGTTTTTGTGGCGACACTGAGTATCTTCAGGGTAGATTCTTGGAATTTCCAAGCCAAAGGTCAAATAACATACAACGTTACCGAATTTCCCAGTGTAAGTGTTGTATCTTTTTATACTCCCATCAGCTATATTTTTCTATAGCTTTGGCATCTGAACGTGTCATCAAACTTTGTGGGGGCAAAAACAAACAAAGCAAAATTAAAAATAGCTATGTGGGCTATATATTTTTAGTTCAAGCAGTATTTCAGGGTAATTTTAATGTTCACTACAAATTTTAAACTCTTGATTTTGTTATCCTTATTTATAGATTAAAGTGGGGTACTTATTCAGTATTACGTTAGTGTCTGCAAAATACTTGACCCTAATACTCCAGGAAAAAAAAAAATTATGGACAGGTGGTGTCCTCAAGGAGTCCATAGCTCAGCAGGCATGGCTTTTGAGAAAAAAGAAAAAGCGAACAATAAAACAAAAAACAGAAAAAATATTAAAATAATACACATTTCTTTCTTTTTTAAGAGAAGATTGGGAGTCCAGTGAGAAGAATCTGTGCACTCTGGTGCTTGTAGGTTTTCTGTACTCTCAGTTCTTCACTGTGTCACCTGCTTGCTCATTGTGCGCTTGTCTACCTCTTGCTTTGTCTACTGCTTCAGGCTCTTTGAGTAGATAGAAAGCTTGGGTGGTATGAGGTTGCTCTTTCTATCTGCAAGGCTTAGAATCATGCCTTCACATGGCAGGCGCTCAGTGAATGTTATGAATGTTGATGACAATCAGAGCTTGCATCATGATAGAAAAGCTGGATCTCTAGGACAGTGGTGGTGAACCTAAGACAGGTGTGTTGCATGGGGCTGTTTGTTATCGTTGAAAGCTCTATTAGGTTTGCCATCACTGCTCTAAGATGAGTACCTTTCCTTTTTTTTTTTTTTGGTAGAAGGAAAAGTATTCTCTTCCAAAGGAGTGGAGCAGTAAACATTATGATATGCTATCTGTAATTAAGTATAGGCTAAGGTACTTTAAAAGACTCTTGCCTTGACTTAAGAGAGAACATTATTTCTCTTCCATGAGTGTGTGGTTATTGATATCTAAAAGGACAGCTCTGCCATTGTCTTAAGCATAAGGATTTCATTTTTGGATCTGTGGTTTTCATCCACGTTGAGTTTATTGTGGTCTGTTCTTTTTTTTTTTTATCGCTGAGTAATAGCCTTTATATGAATGTGCTCCAATTCTATCAATGCTGCTTGGACAACTCTAAAAATAGAGAGAATCTCTAACAAATATGAAGATTTCTGCATGAATAATTAAAATATGTAGGACTATTTTAGTTTCTCATTCCATTTTATTTAATGACATGCATTGAGTGCCTGTGGAGACCAAATAATGTGTTCATTGAAGAGAGTACAAGGTTCTAAATTTCCGGCTTTTTCCTTAAGGTACAGTTCAGCTAGAGGAGAAAAGGACAATTGAGTTGTCCCAATTTTGGATAGAAACCACGTGATTCTCAACAGCCACCTTAAGTACATGTATTTCTTGCAAAAGCTGAAATATCTAGGCTTGGAGTATTCAGATGCCAGTAAATAATCCTACGGTTATCCTGGAGGAAATCTGCCCATCTTCCACCTCCAGGTCTTGCTCCAGGGAACCAGTGCCTGGCCTTTAAAAACATATGGGCCTGAGAGTCAGGTCCCTCAGGTTCTGTTTCTGGTTCTGCTGCTGGATTGCTATGCAGCCTTGCATAACACAGGGCACATGCATTCCCTACAAAACAAGAGACAAGTTCTTTGGGCGAGCGACCTCCGTTTTCCCAAGACAGGCTGCGTCCCAAGGCTCAGGGCATGGCCTGGGCTCTTGCCGAGGTTGGCACACAGGAGTTCCGATTTCAGCAAGGGCTTCTTCTTGTCACCTAGTGTGAATCTAGAATCTAGACCTAAAAATAGTTTGCAATTAAAAAGCCTACGAACTCTTCCTGAATGTTTTTCTGGGGATACCCGACGCACCTGAGGGAAATGGGGTGGGTGCACAAGTAGGAGAATGAAATTATTGCAGCGACGGGCTCTCTGGTGGCAGCACGGCAGGAGGTCGCAGCGCCCCCTTACTAGAAGACTACATTTCCCAAGAGGCGTTGCGGCCCTAGGCGTTCATCGTGCCGCAATTCCCCAGTTTGATTGGACGGTGATCTCGCAGAGCATCCCGGAATTTGTAGTTCAAGGTCGCGTGAGGCGCGCTTCTTTGTGATTCGCCGCGCCGATTCAGGCTCCGGGCGCGTCCCCGCGGGGAGGCTGAACTAGTGGGTAGGTGCCCTGAGAGGCGGGTCCCAGCCGCGCGCGGGTGCGCTGCGCCCAGGGGGGCCGGTCGGACCTCCCGCGGGGCGGGGCGGTCGGTTCAGTGTCCTCACCGCCTTCCTGTCCCCGCCCCGCGCCGCGCGCGCCTACTTCACTGAGCTACAGCAGAGGCAGCAGCGGCGCAGCCGGAGGGGGCGGCTGGGGCCCAGGCGACACGCGCCGGCCGCGACCCGATGCGGTGACCATTCGCGCGGCGCAGGCGCCTGCAGCCCCGCCGGCGGGGCCGGAGCGCCCGGCGGCGGGATGTTCTCTCGAAGGAGCCACGGGGACGTGAGGAAGTCGGCGCAGAAGGCGCTGGACCCTAGGAAGGACGCGGCGACGCGGCTGCGACACCTGCGGGCGCTGCTGGGTGAGCGCGACGGGCGGGCCCGGCCGGGCTCCGGGCGGCGAGAGCTGTCACCCTACCCCGCGTGACTGCTCCCTGAGTGGCGCGGCGCCCCTTGCTGGAGCTGTCATCCCTCACCTCCTCCCCTCACGTTTTGAAATCACTTCTGAGGCGGAGACAGCAGCTACAGTGGTTGCTGAGACCCAGCACAGATGTAGCTGTCGCCCCCGCCCAACATCTCATCTTCTCAGGGGTCTGGCCAGCTCGCTTTCTTTGTGTCTGGGGGTGAAGCGGACTCCTCTGCCTTCCCGAGGGCGGAGGTGGCTCTCGGTTCAGGCGGCTGCTTCTCCTCCAGGACGGGGTGACTGCCTTGGTCCTGTGCGGCCACCGTTTTGTAGCACGTTTTGGGGGTGGGGGTTCTGCGGATCTGGGGTGGCCTTGGCCGGGTTGACCCTGGCAAAGCTCACCCCTAATTTATGAAGTTCCCTCAGGGTTTTCTGTCACCTGCTGATTGCAGTATGTGGCTGACTGTGTTTCGCTTGCTCTCTCTGTCTCTCTCTCTGTCTCTCTCTGTCTCTCTCTCTCTCTCTCTCTCTCTCTCTCTCACACACACACACACACACAATCATTTTAGTTTTAACTTTTGTTTAGGACGCAGACACTTTGGTCTGTCTCTCCACAGACTTGTCCTTGTGTATTTGGGGGCTGAGAAGAAGAGACATAAATTTCTTCTAGATGTCACTTAGTGTTAATAGGACAAAATCACGGAGTTTTAATGTTTGTGTCATTTGAGAAAATGTGACATAAAATTAATTTTAGATGTGAGAATTGTGAGTAAAGACCTCGCTCATGAGGTTAAAATTTGCTAAACATATCTATTTATACTCTGTGAGCTACTTCGAGGGTAAAATAGGAAACCCCCAACCCAACACCTGATTTGGCCAAGAGAGAAGTTTTTGACCATCTAAGATTCCTAGAGGTTCTTCTGCCTACTTGTGCAACCTGATTGGAATGCAATGTAAATTAGTTATTGTTATAAGGATTAGTTTTCAAGACTTGAAAATGAAAAGTGGTGTTCTTTGTAAACTAAACTTTCTACTTCCTCTAGTAAAACACTGAGTCCACACAGGTGGCTTTGTGCAGGATTCTTAGCAGTGACTGATTAACACCTACTGCTGGAACATTTTTGATAAGGGACAATAGAGAAGTCTTTTAAAGCATTTGATACTTTGGGACTTTTTCTATGCTATGGATCGAAACTTTTGTCCTGCCCAAATCTGCCAGATTAAGTTGGCTACATTTTTCAAAAGCAGAATCCATTAAAACTAGATCAGACTGGATTTTTTTTAGAGCTACACAGCTCATAGTTATTATTCTGAGAAAGCAGATACTTTTCAAGTCTGTAATTATGGTTTTAGTCTAAGATGTGTGCCTTAAGGAAGTTTCTTTTATCATTTCCTTGAACTCTTATGACCTTTGTTTTGTAATATGAAGAAATTCTTTGATATTTTCTTAGGTGTGCTTTTTGTTATTGTCCACCTATTTGTGGAATGTCTTTTTTTTTTTTTTTTAAACAAATTATCACTGGATGCTTTACCTGTAGAAATTACATTTTCATCAAATTTATTTGAGGTGTTCTAATCAGTCTGTTTAAGGTAAATATTCACTTTACAACTATGATTTAAAGATTGTTTGAGGCAGGGTCTCATTATGTAGAGACCCTGCCTTCAGGCTGGCCTTTAATTCAGTATTGCCCAGGCTGGCCTTGAACCTGTGGTAATCCTCTTGCCTCAGTCTCCTGAGTGCTGAGATTAGGCAGTAAAGATAAATAACATTAAAGTGCTTGTTTCTGCTACATCACATGCCCTATTTGATTGTTACTTTTTTTAAAAAAAGTTTGGGCCATGGAGATACCTCAGAGCCCTAAGCACCTGCCTGGCAAACACAAGGTCCTGAGTTCAATCCCTGGTACAAAAAAAAAAAAAACTTTGCTTAGAACACAAAGGTCTTGGCAGGTTTGATAGCACAGGACTATAGTCCCAGAATTTGGGAGGCTGAAGCAGGAAGATCTTTGCAAATTCAGGACCAGCCTGTTCTACATAGTGATACCTGAAAGACTGAAATTAAACCCAGATCAAAGAAATCAAAGGAAATGAATAATTGCTATTGTGTTTTTCTGATTTTTATATGTTTTTCTCCCCCCCCCATATTTCATGTTCAAGCAACAGTAAAGATGTTAGTTTTACACACAGATGTGGTCCCACTGGCTGAGCTTTCAGCCTGTCCCTGCCACTTGCAGCAGCATGCCTTGGGCTCTTACTTCGCCTCTCCCTGAGGCTCAATTTGACACTCTCACTGGGCTGTTGCAAGGTCCCAGTGTAAGGAAGGGTTGCCCTGAGTGTGAGAGGACATGCTTCAGCTTTTCTCCCTCTGCTTTGAGATAGGACAGGCATTTTGGTAGTTAATGTCCCTAACCCTCTTTCTTATTTTTGATAACTTTACTTTTTTTAAATGCATTTGGTACAGGGTCTACAGGGACTACTGGGTCTCACTACACAGATCAGACTTATGGTGATCCTCCTGTTTTCAGTCTCCCAAGTGCTGGGATTACAGGCACGTGCCACCACGCCCAGTCTCACCATGCCCTGCCATGCCAGGAATTGAACCCTGGCCGGTGAGCTCTGCCTAAGCAGGTGCTTTAGTCTGCTGAGCTATCTGCCTGGCCCTTATTTTTGATAACTCTAATGAATTTATTCTCTTCTTAAAAAGTAGTCTGTATTTAAGACAACTGGTTGAAAACACACAGTTAGCTGTGGAAAGTAGAGTCCTAGAGTCATGATTGTGGTGCTAATTCAGACTTGCAGGTACCATGGCCTGGCTGAATGAGGTGCTGAATGAGCCTGATATTAACTTTATTTGCCTATAGCCTCAGCACTGGGGAGGCTGAGGCAGGAGGATGGCCATGAGTTCGAGGCCAGCCTAGGCTACCTAGCAAGACCCTGTGTCACAAAACAGAAAATATGATTATCTTTATTTTACAGAGGAGGAACTGAGGTAGGTAGGCCTTACAAGGGCCCAAACCTTGCACTCAGTGGCTTACGTGCTAATTATAGGAGGAACAAAGACCAACTTCCAGGTCTCTTCACACTGTGGAAACTATCACTGGACATGTAAATGGATAAACAGAACCAAGACAGCCCAAGCATCCTGTGTGTTACCAGTGCCTGGTGTGTTAGGTTAGAAATCAGAATGACAGTGACATAGCAAGAAGAGTCAGTAGGAAATAATGCTAAATAAGTGGTGGCTGTTATGTAATTAGACAGATGACTGCATGGCAGACTCCATGATAGAATTTTGGAGGGCAGAAGAGATGGTTATTTAATTTTTACTTTTTGAGATAGGGTCTTGCTGTGTAGCTCAGGTTACAGAGGTCATTCTCCTGCCTCAGCCTCTGAGTGCTGGGATTCCAGGCATGTGCTGCCACGCAGAAGAGATCATTACAAGGATGTAAAAGCAGGGCACCTTGAAAGAGTTCGCTCTTGCTGAGCCCTGAAGAGGCTGGACAAGCGCTGTCCGGCACAAATGTCATGTGAGCCCTATTTTTATCTTAAAATTTTCTAGTTACCACCATTCAAAAGTGAAAAGAAGAAGGTGAAATTAGTTTTAATAATGTATTTGATTTCATTTCATGTACAGTATCTTATGTTTTATATCAATCAGTAGTCAATATAAAATATTAATGACACTTTTACATTATTTATTCCTTGGAATCTAGTGTATATTGTATATTGAGCGTGCATAGTGCATCTCATTAGCCACATTTCCAATAATCAGCAACCAGATGTGACTGGTGGCTACACATGGGGCACTTGGGAAGGTAAAGGGATAGGCCAAAGGAAGACAGGAGACTGGCTATGGCTCTCACTTGCCATGGGAGTGACAAGAGATAGTGTTGGGCACTGAGTGTGCCCTGCTTAGTCCAGGGCAGGGGGAGGAGCAGAGGGGCAGCAGCCTAACACATAGAGTGGAGCCAGATCCCAGAGGGCTCTGTTTGGCTCCTTTCCTGGAATCTTGAGCGGGGGACAGCATTGGGGCCTGGTGGATAATTCTCTATGCGTAACCATGAAATTTAGGGTTTTGGAGCTGGCCAGCGAGCACCAGTCATGGAGAAGAGATTTGGGATCAGATGCTATCACAGTCAAGTCAAATCAAGGGACCAGGTCAGACCACTGATTTGGAACCAGACAGAAGCGATGCTCTGTCTGATGCTGTATGTGTTGGCAGAGCTGCACATACCTGTCTAGTCTTTCTTGTGCACCGGCTGCTTTAGATAGGAACAAGTTCACTCACAGTTTGAAATGTTCCTCTTTACCTTTATCTTACTATTAACATTCTTTTGTGTTTTGTTCCTCTCACCTGTCACATTTGTATTGTAAATGTACCATAATTCAGCTTACCATTTCCTACAAGGAAGGTTACATTGCTTCTCCTTATCTTTCTTGTTTTTGTTCTTTCTCTGCACCTTTATACTCATCTTGAGAAACAGTAGCTTCTGTATTTTTTGTTGTTTTCATAGAGGTGGTTTTACTGAAGTCAAAATGGTTATGATGTGATTTCTAGAACATTCCCAAGTGCTGCCTTAGCAGTACTCTTTTATCACTTGATGGTTGGTGGTGAGTGCTTGGTATGATGGGTGTCTCAGACTAGGCCAGACATTTGGGAGGGGACTGAGCTAATGGTGCAGAAGGTGACTTTGGTGTCTACATGTGGAGTGTGAGAAATGGCGAGATGCAAGGGGCATGTCTGGGAGGGAGCTTGTGGGATCGGGTTTGGAGCTTAATGAGAATATAGAGAGCAGTGGTATGGCTGTTTATTATCACTATGATCTCACTGCCTCTTCCCACAACTATGATGAAGGTAGTGCTCTTGCCTCAACCTACTGAAGTGGAAACTGAGGCACAGTGGTTAGCTACTTGTCTATAATCTGCCTGCCTTGAAGTGGCAGAGCTGGAATTCATGTTTGT